GTAAAATTTTCATAATTGTAATTTTTTTTATTGATTCTCACCAAATAAAACACAATTAACATAAATCTTAAACAACGTGAATGCTTTAAATTTGAATATACAAAACATCGTAACCATCTCGACAAAAAGCGTAGGTGACACTTAAGCACAAAAATTTGAAAAACCAAACATCGTAAGAAGCAGTACTATTACAAAAATAAAACATACAACTCTTGTCATTTGTAAAGCACACTACCAAATAATATAATATAAAATATTTAACTTTCAATACTGATTGAAACAGATATTAATTAAAAAAAAACTTCTCCTGAAAAATTGCACTTTTGCTGGTTACGATGTTTTCCCTGAAAGGGCTCGAATTACTATAACCGATGAAAGAAAATAAATTCGATAATGGTAATAATTTTAAGTAATTGTAAATGTATTAAATTGCAACGTAGAAATATAAAACATATTAATTTGAGTCATATGAACTATTAACATTTTCTTTGCCTGTAAATTTGTAGCTTAAAAGTACTTACATCTGCAATAAAACAATAACACAGGTAATATCCAAACCAGCTTAAATTCCATTATTTTCCGCGTCTAAGTTGCTTAAACCCTAATTTGACACTAATATAGTATGAGCGTGAAGATACCTGGCGTGACAAATCCTGATCAAACAATTATATTCAGACGATTATAATTTTATAAAATAGATGTTGGTCACCTTCATCTTATTTTCAAGGTTACAAATAAAATGTTCTTTGATTGTAATTGCAATCATTAAATTTTCACATTTTTAAATAACAATCATTAAATCTTTTACTCAAGAAGGGGGGCGTCTTTACTTCGATAATTATCAGTCAACGACAACCAAAATTTTGGATTTAATTTTTACAAATTGATTAAAACTTCGTCCAGTGACCTAATATTTAGGACAGTGGTTCTTAACCTTTTTACCACTGAGGACCACTTGTATTTTTCAGAATTCTTGGCGGACCACTTAGATATTATTACTAATATTTCCCAATAATAGGTAAAATGAGATGAACACTGAAGTTTTACTAATGAATTTATTATTTACAATATAAAAAAAAGAAAATACACAGTGAAAGACAAAAGTAATATAAAAAACAAAATAAAAAGTCATAGATAGCGCCAAATAAAGACGTTAATGACTCCCTTGGTCTTGCTTCTCACTTGAAAGTTTATCAATATTTGGCTCGAAAGAAGTTAACGCCCGTCTCATAGGAGCATTCAAATTTAGTAATCTATTTCTGTGTTTACTCTGATGACATATAATGTTGAGAATGATGCCTCACAGAGATAAGTGGAATGAAAAGGAAGAAGAAGTTTCAAAGCTTTTTCACTTAGAAGTTGACTTTCATCAAGTAATCCTATCCAACATTTTCGCAGTGAGATTTTATCACTTTTAAATGATCATCGGATGAAATTTCAATAAGCTGTTCATTTTTCTGAATAGACAGATTATTATCGTGGGTAGCTAAAAAGGGATCAATTACCCACAAATTATTTTTCCTCACACCTGTATCAGCAGGGAAGTACTTTTCAAAGTAATCTTGAAGCGATTTAATGTAGGACTTAACCAGTGAATATAAAACATCCTCATTTAAGCCTTCATTTTTAGAGATAAAATCTGAAAATAAGTTGAACATATCAAACAATCCTTTTGCAGCTTCGGACTCCCATAGCAACAATTTTTTCTTAAATGAATCAATTTTTTCCCAAAGGTCAAATGCGGTTTTAGATGGTCCCTGCTGGTCTATATTCAATATGTTGAGCTGTTCAAAAATATCTGCTAAAAAAGCTAACTGGGCCATAAATTCTCTGTCACGCAGTGTTTCCGCTAAATCAGGTTTTTTTTTTTCATCAAGATACATACATACTTCTTCTCGAAGTTCATAAAATCTGATTAAAACCCGGCCCCTGGACAGCCACCGAACTTCGGTATGTAGAAGGAGATCGGAATGTATGGATATTATGTCCTCGCATAACAAAGCAAACAATTTCGAACTTTTTATAAAGTTCACGCCCTTTACCACAGTAGTCAAAACCTTGTTTAGGTCGGGACCTAATCTTTTGTCAGCAAGCATTTCGCGATGAATAATACAGTGTGTTAAAACAATATCACGGTTTCCTTCTTTCTTTACAAAACTTGGCAAGCCTGTTTTTTGACCTGTCATTGCCGCGACACCATGAGAGCAAAGTCCTACACAGTCTTTCCAAGAAAGATTTTTAAGTGTGAAATATCCGTCAATGGCTTTAAAAATGTCTTTTTCGGTTGTGTTACCTTACAACTCAATCAAGGTCAGGAACTCCTCAAATAATTTTTTGTTGTCTTTATCTATGAATCGTATATAAACAAGAAGAATAGCTTTATTAGTAATATCTGTAGATTCATCAAGTTATACAGCAAAAATTTTTGGGGAATGAATTTTATTTAGAAGTTGAGTTTCAAAGGAAAGAGGAATATTTTGCATGTGTTTAGCGTATTTATCACCTAAAATTGTTGCATCTACGATACAAGGTAAAACTAATTCCTCACCAACAGTAAAGGGTTTTTTGGTTTTTTCGATTCTAAGTGAAAGTTGATATGACGCCTTCAAAGTAGTTTTATCATAAGTTGAGTATGACTTAAAATAAAATACTAAAATATATTATTAATATTTTAATAAAAATATTTAGATCTTTGCTTTGTGTAAAATATATAATTTTTTTCTTGTCATAAGCAAAATCAGACATCAGTGTTAACCGACAACGAAGAAATAATACGTTGGAGATCTTATTTTTTAAGCGAGATGATTTGAAAACACACACATATAAGAACACAAATATGACAGTATTGAGACCAGTTGTTGTCGTCAATCTTTAAAAAAAAATACCTAAAAAATTCCTGTCTGTCTGTAAAGGCGACTTGCTAATAATAAAAAAATTAATTTAAAAGGTAATTTAATTAAGCAACCAAAACTTTGAAGAATACTTCACATAACTGGTTCAGTTAATTCCACAAAAGGCTGAAATCATGGTGGTAAATGCGAATTGTTATTTTCTATCAACAGAAAAACTTGCAGCGACGTCCTGCAGAAACGTTGATATTAAAAACTAGTCAACCGAAAACCATAAACCATTTGGGGATGAAAATCAAATAAAAACGTAACGTTTAATAAAGATAGCTTTGGGTCAAAAGTTTTAGAAAAAATAGCCAAAGGTCGTGAAATTCAAGTGTTTTGTTTACTGCCAATTATTATAATAAATGATATCGACCTAATACAGGGTGTTGCAAGATGTTTATAACAACCTATAATCCAGGAAGTAATATGTGTTTGTTATGCTTGTGATTAAATTTCCCTAATTAAACTAAAATAAGTGAAAGCTGTTAGTTTTATATATATTATTGCTGGGACTTCATTTTTCTGAATTAAAATTTTTGAGGTTATTTTGTTAAAATGAAATCTTGTAAAAAATACTCAAAACCCATCAATGACGAACAAATGGAGAAAGCTCCTAGATGTGACAGCTGCCGTGTGGTTTTCCATTTGGAGGAGAAATGCTCAGGTCTTGGTGCAAGTGACCAGAGAGCCATTGTCGTTCAAAAACGGATAATTTTGTTCTTCTGCGAAGAGTGTGTGCTTTCCTTAAAAAAATTCCTGTTTAAACTAACAAATTCATTCAGCTAGAGGAGCAAATCAAGTCTTTAAAGGAAGAGCTAAACGTAGTTAAGCAACAACAGCAGCAGTGCGTTGGTGGTACAACTAATGTGGAAACATTATTGCACGAGTTTGAAGATTGTGCTGAACGTGCTAATAATCTTATGGTGTATGGCATCCCTGAATCAACAAGTAATAATATTCAAAAAAGAACAAATGCTGATAACAACGCACTTACTCCCATTTTCAACAACATTGGTCTTGCTCAGGACGATGTGATGAAGATATTACGAGTGGGGCAGACATCTGATGGCAAAAACAGGCCAATAAAGGTAGTAAACAAACACCGACATTTAGTCAAAAATGCAATTAATAAGAGAAATCGCATTGAGGATGGCATAAAAATAGGCTACGATAAAACGAAACTTCAACAGGAATAGTTTGAAACTGTTTTGACAGAGTTGCGTGCTCGAGAACAGAACGGAGAATCTGACTTATTATTAAATTTACAAAGGGGCTTCTGACAGTTGCTAAAAAAACTTAAAAAAACCAATCGCAATAAACACTATGTCTGTATATTATCAGAATCTTGGAGGAATACATACTCGACTCAATGAACTTCGAACCTCCATTTTCCAATGCAACTATGATGTCATCATTCTGGTAGAACCTTGGATTAATTAAGATTATTAAGATAATAAATTGGTAAACTCTGACTACCACATTATCAGATTGGATCGTAACTTAAGAACTAGCACTAAGCAGGTGGAGGAGGAGTTTTAATTTTGTTACGAAACCATTTTAAAGCTAAACAAATCAAATCTGATATTAATAATGTTGAGCATCTGTTTGTTCAAGTGGATTATGAATATGCATCAGTTATCTTGGGTGGAGTGTACATTCCTCCAAACTCATCAGAAGATATTTACCTTAGTCATTGCTCGGCAGTTGAAACTATTGTGATGTCCATCTTCTCTGTGTTGTCTTTCTGAAAAAACTGTTCATTTGGAATAGTTTATGTTGCAGCATAAACCTTAACAGTATTTCAGCGTTAAAATCACCACATAAAGTAAAATGTCCTTGATGGTATTTAAGAGCAGCTTCGATATCAACAACTTGGTGCAAGTCTGTTGAAGGTGTTATACTTTGTGTATATTACAGATTAGAACAGATCGATTAATTATGGACAGAGGAAAAATAGCAGAGCTGGTATACCTTGCCGAGTATTTAGTAGACTATATGCATCTATAGTCAATCCGAAGTTCATCTTAAACCACAGTAAGTCTCCTCCACTTATCTTGCAGTACCTTGCAGATATTGCAAGGCTTTTAAGAAAAAAAATATGTTTTACGTAAATAAACACGTACTTTACTTCTTGGAATATTTCTTTACAAATTTTGACAGTTATACATTTAACAAATGCAGGTAAGCATACAAAATTCAATGACTGTTTTTTTTGTGGTGCAGTGTATATATAAAGGAAATTATTTATTAGAAATACACTTTTATTAAACACACAAAATATTGCCTATTTTCTAATTTAAATACTAAAACTATACAGATATTTTTATTATACTGGATTAAAAAAAAAATAATTCAAATAAACCAACAAAATATTAACAAGACACTAGGTAAGTTTAGCTTTTCATTAATTTATAAAATTATTTTCCTATGGATTGTGAGCATCGTACGTTGTTACTTTTCCATTGTCATTCACAGTCGTAGAGGACTTTTGGACAGTTTTAGGCTTTCCATCCACATTCGTAGTGTAGCTGGAACTTGACGTATAGACACTTTTGAATCCATCTGGTTGATCTGAGGAAAACCTTACATTCACGTTGGGAGCATTCTAAAAAATAAAAATAATATTAATATACTAAAGTAATCTACTAAGAAAACTTGGATTAAAGATATACGTTACTATATAAAAGTGACACCAGCCAAAAGACTAATAATCTCTGCCCATCAATACCTTATGAAATTATAGAAAAACACCTTCAAGATCTAGGTCTTCAACTTGCTTCACTAGTGTCACATATCAAAGCTGGAATCCCCGGTGATGAATTTACGCATATTATGAGCTTCAGAAGACAGGTATACGTTACTCCAACTACAGATAGCCTCGAAATTGAAACTTCATTAATAATTCCATTCGACATAATAGTTTTATATGCAAAAAACATGGACATACAGCACATAACTCTCAAAATTCCCCTAGCAATTCTCTCCCAAATGAACAAACGTCCCCAGCTGAACTCATCTCTGCTACCTCAATATCAAACAATTTGGTACCACCAAACATAACACAAAATTCGATTTCCAGTCAACAAATAAAAACTGTCGATATATCCACCACTATCCTGAGAAGAATATTCGGTGGCATCTGTGAAAATCGTGTTTGGAGAAGGAGGTACAACTATGAGATATATCACACATATAAATATATATTTGGTGGTAAAGACATAGTATCTCTCATAGAAATACGAAGACTAAGATGGGCAGGACATCTGGCAAGATCACAACAGAACAACCCTCCTAGAAGAATCTTTATGTCACAACCTATGGGAAATAGAAGTAGGGGTAGGCCAGAACTCAGATGGAAGGATGGTGTAGATGAGGATGGTAGAAAAATAGGCGCAGCAAACTGGCAATAGTTGGCAATGCATAAAACTGACTGGCGTAATAGACTTGGGAAGGTCAAGGCTCTTTTATAGGGCTGTAGCACCACTGATGATGATGATGATATCCACCAATTCTATAGCCGCAAACAATGAATTTCTTCCTCCTACCACTGCTCAGAAACGAACTCGTTCTGACTTCAGCGATTCTACCTACCAAGAAACATACACATTTACTAACTTATCCATCAAAGACATAAAAATGCCTACCCCCGATGGAAATGTGCCTAAAAAGCATAAAACTAAAAATTCCAAGAAAGAGGCATCAGATCAGTCTAAATTAACCACCTCCTTTGTTCTCACAATCAATAATTTTATCAAGAAAATTCAAACTTATTCTCGTTACTGGTTGAAAATTTTCTTGCCTTTCTGGAAAACTCATTCGGCAGTAATAACCCTCTACAACCGCCACTTTGGCGATCTATATTCAATTTTACATGGTTGACACGAGGTAAATTTCTAAAAGGCAGTAAAAGTAATGAAGTACATAAACTTATTTGCAAGAATAATGCAAAAATGAAAAGTCAATATCTGTCATTAAAATAAAAAGTAACCTAGCAATAAAGAATTAGGACTGTTTTAGTAAAATCAATACTTACAGGGTTTTCTGGAAAAACAGAAGCCCCTTGTTGAATACCCCCTGGTCCAATAACTCCAAAAGCGGAGGCGCCTTGTGCATCTGGAGTAAATGTGCCAGCTACAGAAGGCCCTGGGATAAATTGATATCCAACACCACTTCCAGTTGGATATCCACTTGAAAAGGATCCTCCAAATGATCCACCATTTCCAGTACTAAATGACCCTCCGTATCCACCTCCATAAGCAGACGCTCCCGCATCAGGTAGGCCGCTTCTGCTTTGTAAATTATTTTGAACTGCTGCTGCTTGCGCTTGGAAGCTAAAATTTTTTTAAGAAATGTGATATTAATATATATATATCTTCCTAACCCCAATAATCCCTATTGGAAAAATATACTTATGATATTTCCCTCACTAAATTAACAAAGAAGATACCAGTGTTAATATATTTAGAATACTCTTTCCAAAACTTATAAACAAAAATAAATAGAACGCGTCAAAGACTGAAAGTGGTGTTGGATATTCTATAACCACTCTAAAAGTTCTCATTTGTGCAGTATAACGTTCTTTTAAATATGCCCAATAATATCCAAATAACGCATAAGAGACGTAGCAAAAAGTTTTATTCATCCCTTCGACAGACGAAAGAATACTGTGCCGAACATGAAAATGCGATGTTTTTATGTTTTGATTATATGGCAAACATATCGCTTCCCACAATTTCAGCGATACCACCAAGGAGTTGCTGGAAAGAGAAGTAATGAAGTTTGCTCTTTCTTGAAGAAGTATATTGACGAGAATGTTCAGGTAATGTAGATGAATTAAAAGATTTAAAAAAGTTGTCTTTAGATTTCCAATAAGGGGTCACTTCTATTTACCATGTGACAGGGTCTTCGGTCTTGTAAAACGAAACCTAAGGAAACATGATAGATTCTACACTTTCAAAGATATAACAGAAATAATACTTTCATCTACAAAGCAGAGGAAATTTACTGTGGATTTAGTGGAAAATGCAAATGTTTTGGACTTTCCAAGTTGGTGGCCCAAATTTTACAAGAAAAATACTGTTTCAGAAGAAAGTAAAATTGAGAAAAACAAAAAAAGGAAATGTTTACTATTTATTCCTACCATCAATTTACTTGCGAAAGATTTAAAAAACGAGTGGTTGTTGTATCTGATTTTATAGGTGGATTTATTATCAAAACCTTCAAATTATTATCTAATCCACTGTCTATTGCTGAGCCTTCCTCCCCTTCCTCATTAGCAAGAAAAACTCATGAATCAAAGATACCAATTCATCAAGAAAAAATTAATAATCTGAAGAAACTTTTGCAGTATCTCCCTCAAGAACACAAGTGGTTTTACAATGAGCTTGCCCAATGGCTTACAGTTGCAACCAAAAAATGAGCAAAAATGTATAAAATGGCCCTTAATTGTAGCTAATTGTATTGTCTTAGAACTGTTTTAATAACGTAATATTAATTATAAATAAACACGGTGTAAATTCATCCACCAAAAAAATTTTCCCCGTAAAACAACTCTTTTGTTTATGAAAGGCCTTTTGTCACCTATTTTCAATAAAAAATGCAATATTGATTTTAAAAAGTGCAACTAACATGATTTGTTTTGAGTTTTAAGGTCCTTAAAATGTTTCGAAAAATCAGAAAAGTATAAAATCGTGTTTTATAAGGTTTTTCAGTTTTTTCTTGTTTTCCAAAATTTACATTTTGTGACAAGAGGCCTTTCATAAATAAGCGATTAATATGTTGAACTGTAGTATTCCACACCTTAGACTTACATTTTTAAAGACACAAAAATATAGTAGTCATATACAAACTAAAAAGTAGAATAATATTAATTTGAAGTACCTACCCCTTAGTTTTTTTAAAAGTTATACTAGAAATTGCTTCAGCTTGACCTTTACCATTTGGTTTAGTAGATACAAATGAATATGAATAAGAGCCGCCACCGCTAGATAGAGAGCAGATACAATACCATATTTATTCACTAGAGAAATAATATGTTAATATTCCCTTAATATTTAAACGATTTGAGTTTATCATAGTGATAATGATCATTTTAACCACTGGCAAAAAATATAAAAAAATATTGAAAACTACTTTTGTTTTTAAATTACTTAAGTTATCATCAAGTAACAATAAAAACATATATTTCAGTGTCAAAAAATAAAACTTTTAAATAAAAATGATGCCTACGTTGTTCAATTGATATAATTCCTTAATTTCTGATTTTGTTGATATCTTTGTCTATAATAATTGACAGTTGCGATATTAAATTGGTTCTACTGATTGTATTTAGAAAATGCTTATCCTTAAAAAAATTAGCTAAATGTTAAAAATATTAAATAAAAGTTCGTTATTTTATTGATTAATCTTCCAACATAAATGATGTTCTACAAGTGATATAGAAAATACTGATTTTGTTATAAATATTTCTTAACCAGTGTATTTTAACTGTTCACTCAAATCGCTTAGTTACCTCTTATAAGATGGATTGTTGGTACTTACTTTTTAAATATGTCTTCTTGATACTTATTTAAAGTCTTGAACAAGTTAGATAATTCCTGAGGAAATTGGAAATTTTCGGGAGCAGCACCTGGACCTGAAAAACTCCCAGAATAACCATACCCGAAAGAATTTCCATTATTGTTGGTATTACCTATGTCATTTCCAGAAGAATGATCTGCAAAAATAAATCCAATAACTAAAACTTCAACGCAAAAATCACAGAAACGGACAACTAATGATCTCATGGTTGACAAGTTAAATTCTGTATGCCAACATTTGTAGTTGAAATTATAATAATTTGAAAGGAAAGGATCAATTATTTTATAAAAAAATGGTGCTGTAGATATTGTTATTGATTAGTTACACAGAAATGTAGAATATTTTTTTATAAAATTATTTAGAAAAATAACAAATAAGTTAATACAATCGAATTCGCCACTAAGTCTTCTGTTTTTATATATTTTATATTATAATACGAGGTATACTTATTAATTTCCGAGAACATTGGTATAACATTTTTATTTAGAAATTTTCATCAGTTTAAATTTTTTCCCTTTTCTTTCTCTTTTCTAATACTGTGTCAAGTATTACTCCATATCATCTTATCTCTAGACATCTCAGAATGTCACACTTTTTCTATATACCATGCATCCTCTAGGCACGACGATGTTACACCGCTGGATTATAGAGATCAGTAGTTACAGACTACATATTGATTAGAAACAGATGGAAGACATGTTTTACAAACGTAAAAACTAGACCAAGAGCTGAATGTGGATCCGATCATAAATTGTTATGGGCTTTCTTCAAGATGCAGCTAAAAAGAATAATGCCGCACCAAAATTAAAACAGGCTGGAGATTTCAAATCCGAAAACATTTAGAGATGCATTAAAGGAAACTCGTATGTTGAACACATAAGACAACCCGGAAGAAATGTGGGAAGGTTTCAGAAATGCCATAGAAACCTCTGTAGAAAGAACCAGAACCGAAAAAAAGATCATCAAAAGAAAACACTGGATGACAGACAGAACACTGCAACTTCTCGAAGAGCGAAGGAGAATCAAATCTCTCATATATCAAAACGACAGCAACAAAAACGAATTCGCAAGGTTAAATAGAGAAATTAAAAAAGCATGTAGGAAAGCATGTAGAAGAACTAGAGAGACATGCAAACCGGTATGAATCCCATGAGCTATATACCAAAGTCCGATATCTATCCAGGGTATTTAAACAGATCACACACAATAATGGATCAAAACCAACATATTATAAATGAAGAGAAAAGGATTGCGGAGGTATTGAGAACATATTGTCCAAGTCTAGATGCAGATAATCACCAGAATGCAAATCACGATGAGTTCACCGCAGAGAGAGAACCAAACATTTTAAAGTCAGAGGTAGAAAAAGCAATCAATAAGTTGAAAAATAGAAAATCTCCTGGCGCAGATCACCGCAGAAGTTTTAAAAGAGACTGGAGATGTTGGAGTAAATGTTATGCATATGATCTGCAAAAAGACTTGGGAAACCGGAGAGTGGCCCAACGACTGGACAACATCCGCTTTCATCCCTATATTCAAAAAATCTCCGCTAGATTGCAGCAACTACAGAACGGTAAGCCTAATATCCCATGCAAGCAAGGTTCTACTTCATGTAATACATAAAAGACTAAAAGCTTTTCTATTGCCTCAGATATCAGAAGAACAAGCGTCCAAAACGTGGACCTTAAAGAAAGCGGATAAAAATAAACTGGACGCTTTGAAATGTGGGTATACCGCCGCATGTTGAGAATATCCTGGATTGATCATCGCACTAACGTATCGATATTAGAACAACTGAAAGTAAAGGATAGATTGCTTAAACAAATACAAGAGAGATATTTGCAGTATTTTGGACACATTACCAGAAGAACAGGTACGATGGAAAAACTGATAGTCGAGGGTAGAGTTGAAGGAAATAGACCTAGTGGAAGATCTCCAAGCCGTTGGGTAGATCAAACAAAAATATTGATTAACCAAGGGTTACATAAAGCCGAACAACTAGCCCAGGACAGAGACGGATGGAGGGAAATCGTGAAAAAACTGTAAATGCATGATGGTGTCACCACATCCCAATAGGGATTAGGACTGAGGAGGAGGAGGAGTTGCAGAATGAATCTGATCGTATGATGAGCCAGTTGTGGCGTAGCGGTCTGTCATTTGTCCATTGATCATGGTAAAAAGAAATGTTAGTGTATGTGTATATATTTTTATGTATAAAGGAATGTGTATCTGTTATAAAGATCAGATTAAATTGATAAATTTGACAAATCTACAATAATGGCATAGCTGAATCCCAGCTCCTATGCCATGTTCTTAGTTGATCCACGTGTGTTTATTTGGGTATATCCTATTTACATATATCCTGTTTATATATAGGACGTTCTTTATTATCTTCACATATAAGTAATTGATTAAGTTGTGCTTAATTCTCTATTTATATTAACACTCAATAAACTCGGATGAATTCAAGCTCTATTTGGGAATTTAAAGTGTTTGATTGTTGGTTTTTAATAGATTTAAATATAGTTTTGTCCTATTATAAACTAAATAACATTACCTAATTGTAATTTCCCCGTAAAATGTATTTTTCTCAAAAAAAAAAACGGTGGATCCTAGGGACTTTAGATAAAACTATAATTTTTTATAAAATGTTATATCTAAAATATGAAATTTTATATAACAAAAAGTTGTGCATAACAATATCCAATACTCAAATAAAATAAAATCCAATATCTACTCCTACCGCTTGTGATTTCAATTTAAAAACCTATTTGGGTCATACGTTAGGGTAAATTCTGTATATTATGAAACCCTCTTTAAAGAACCGCAGAAAGAACTCCTGAGACGAATTTGTCTTCTTTTATAGTTTTTTATAGTACAGTAAAAGAAGTTTTTGTCGCTTACTTGGAACTTGTTTATAAGATTTTCACAATGATTAAGGTGTAACCGAGTATTTGCAACATTATATTAGCAATCATGCTGTCGAAAGCATGCACTGTTTTTCAAAATTAAAAAGAAAAATTGATTAAGATAGGACATCTCAGGTGGATAGGACATGCAATGTAGATGGAACAAGATGACCCAGCTAGAAAAACGCTCCTTGATAGAACCATTGGCCAGAGAAGCACAGGAAGACCCAGAGCAAGGTTCCTTGATAACATCGATGAAGACATTTTGAGATTTTACTGAAAAAAATGTGCCCAGATACTTCATTTGAAAAATTTCATGCTTAGTTAAAATATTACGAAATTTTTTCTAAATACTGTAGTACATATTAATAGTATCTCTTCTAAATAAAGTAAAATAGTTAAAATAGTTTAAAATACAAAAAATATTGCAGGAATGCATGCGATGTGATACTCCAATTTGCTTGGAACACGCAATAATGACGTGTTCAAATTGCGACAATTTTGAGGAGTAGTAACTTTTTTATTTTTCAATATATTTTAGCGAACATTTTTTTCTTTAGTTTATAGAATCTTAAACTATAAGGTTATTTAAAGTTGTCTGATTAATAAAATTTTTCATAATATTTGCGTGTTTATTGTTCACTCGTGTTTTTTGACTAGCATAATTGTAATATGTTGGTTAAATGATGTTTACCAATTAAATACAAAACTTTTACAGTGCCATATTCAATTTATTTGAATAATAAATAAGTAAAAAACCAAGATTAACCATTTTAAATGATTATATTATAAAATTTTAACTTCCTGCGTTAGTTTAGTTTGGGTGTACGACATACCCGGAACACCTCTCGTGCTAATTTATCTAGGCACACTAACGCAGGGTTAATAATGTACGTAAAATAATATGTAAAACTAAAAACTGTTTTTAATTTCCACAGAACATTACGAACTTGACGTATCACTTAAACCATAAAATTTTAAACTATTTTTGTAAATGGTTAATAAAAGATTACTTTGGTACCTCGAGCAAAATAAAATCCTCGACCAATTTCAATCAGGCTTCAGACCAAATCGATGCACCATGAACAAACTTGTACTTCTGCAATCAATAATTGCGACTGCGCTATCTAACAAAAATGAAGTCATTGCAATCTCGTTTGACATCGAAAGCGCTTTTGACTCTATAGCGATTTCTGTGATACTAAACAAACTAAACCAGAACAAGCTATTCAGTAATATATATTCGTTTATAAACAATTTTCTCACAGAGCGGTCCTTTAAAGTAATTACTAATGGCAAAACTTCCTCACAACACACAACCACAAACGGTGTCCCACAAGGGTCTGTCCTAAGTAGTACACTATTTCTCCTTAGTATTAACGATTTTAGTTCATTCATAAATGACCCTGTGCAATACAGAATATATGCCGACGACATAATATTATTCTGTCATGGAAAGGTCAAATCCAGCACAAATACTTCACTACAAAACACGCTAAGTATAATAAACAATTGGGCCAGTCAATCCGGCCTTAACTTTTCCTCATCCAAATCTAAAGTTATTCATTTTACCAAAAGACAAAACACGTAATCTCCAACCATTACTTTGAATGGAAATTTTCTCCAAGTAGTAGACCAAATAAAGCTTCTCGGCATTATTTTCGATAAAAAACTTTCCTGGAGACCACACATTCGAGAACTTATAACTTGTAACTAATTTGTACCCAATGTAAAGTATTAACCATGTATACATGAATGTAAATTGTACCTGTGTCAATGACCATTAGCTGCCGACACATATTTTCGAAATAAAAAAAATCTATTTTTGTAACCTTTTGAAATCTCTAAAAAGTTTTAGTACTTTTTACCTAATTATAATAAAGGTATGTACTATAAATACCTTTCAGATAAATAAATTCAATAAACTCTTTCAGAGACAGTAACATTGACCTGCAAATATCTGTTTATTCTTTAAAAATCAATTCGCAATTTTATGAAGGTTAAGATGTAACATTTCGAGTAAGTTATAAGTATAGCTTATAGTAAGTAGTTTCGAGAAAGAATGATTAAATTCATGATTGTCTATGAATTAAATGGTTGGCACATGTAGAATTGGTTTTTGCTTTGAACTGAACACGATGCTTGTTTGGTTAACGGAAATACCAGTTTCACTGCGAAAATATTCAATTAAAAACCTGTATTTATGCATAAGTTTAAAATATTTCATAAACAAGAAATAACTAAAAAAAACAAATTTATGGAAATCTTAGAAAATAACTATTAAAAATACTGAATTGACTCTTAACGAACAAATAGATATTTATACTGGGATATCCCGTTACTAACTCTTGTAGATGACCACTGCCCTGTTAAGAATAGAAGTCGTAACTGACAAAATCCCTATTTTGAGATATTCGATGTTTTAGATTTGATTAATTTCCATCAACTGTAATGACTCATTAACAATCTTGTTAAAACATAGCAATATATTTGTTGAGTACAAAAATGAGTGTGTGCAATTTTCTTTCAGAGTATTTGAAATTAGATTTTTGATATATACGACATTTAATCCTAACAAATCGTAAAAATAAGGTAAAGTAAAAAGTCTTATCTTAATCAAAGTTATAGTTTGTTAAGATAAACAAAATAACATAAAGTCATAATCAGTTTTTTAATCATCCAAAGCTCCAGGTTCCATTGAAATTGGTAAATTATTCCAAAACGTTTGTCTGCTTTTAGGCATGTGTCATGTCGCCACAGTTTGGATATAATTAGCTGTTTTCTTTCAGTCGTTAAGCATCTAAGAATGGACTTGGGTGAAGGTTTTGCCATTCCCTGTTTTGCAACCTTTGTATTTAGAATGTTTAATTCACTTTCTGTCTCTGACGTGAAGCTGGTTTTGTACGAAAATGTATATTTATCTCTAGAAAAATGTCCTTGAACCATTTGATTTAGGTATGGCCTGGGATTTATTTTATTCAGTTTATATACAGAAGTACCATCTTTGTTTGTACAATAACGACAGACGTGTTCGTGTGTTGCGACGACCCAACGAACGATATGCTCAGTGTAACTTCTCACACACTACATTTTTTGGTGGAGGATCCGTTATGGTGTAGGGTGGTATTTCTTTGACCGCACGTACGGACCTAGTTCTTCATACAAAATGGAACTGTTACAGCTGAAAAGTGAAAGGTACATAATGGAGATCCTGGAACAACATGTAGTACCATTCGCTCCTTATATCGGTGAAAATGTCTAACTAATGCAAGATAATGCCAGACCTCACGCTGCACAGATAGTCAGAAATTATCTGGAAGAGGTAGAAATTAATACTATGAAATGGTCAGCACATAGTCTGGATTTAAATCCGATTGAAAATATCTGGGATATCCTTGGTAGGCGATTAAGAGCGACACCGATAAAACCATACAACTTACAGGAACTGGGAGAGAGGCTGATCCAGATTTGGAGAGAACTAGACCAAAATGAAATACGGCAATTAATTTTAAGTGTGGACCAACGATGTGAGGCTGTTATATGTATTAGAGGTGGAAACACAGGTTATTAAGACTCTTTTCCTATTTTAGTTTACTATTCTTATCATTATTTTTTTAGAATTTTCCGTTTTATTTATTTTTTCCTCTGTACTTCAACATTTTCTGTAGAATAAATTTGGTGACTTTTATTTTTTATTCTTCACCTGTTTACAAATAAAATTGATTTATTGAAATGGTGCGTTAATTTTTTGGGGAAGTGATTAAACAAACAGATTAATTGTTATAAATCTTATATAAATATAATTTTTACACGAAATCATAATTTTAATTAGTAAGAACATAATTTTTTTGTAGATATAAATACATACAGTTTTAAAATGCATGTTATATACATATATCCACAAGGCTACATGTTACGAAAATGAAAATATTTATATTAATTTAAATATTAACAATTGCATAATTATCCTAATCTGATTACTGCGTAATTAATGTATCTGTATTCTTATTTAATATTTTTAAATAATAACACTTTCTATATTTTAAAGTGAGTTTTATTTTAAAAATAAATAGAAAATTCAAGAGTATAATATTTGCTTCCTCTACATGATGGGAAACGTCATAATGTTACCTGTAAATAAATATACTTCTGTGCAAAATAACCACACATTTAATTACATTTACATGCATTAGTAGTGCATTAATATAATCAAAATTATAATGCAAATATACAATACTTAAACAATTCGGGAAGCTTGAAAACAATTATTAAAGTGAAAAGCGTCTCAAAAGTCGAAAGTAATGGAATACTGAATCTAATGTTACCTTAGTCTTTTGCAACTTCTGTTCTACTTCTAATTATCTCATTCTAAGGACCATTTAGCTAGCGGGGATAAATGAGCGGAATTCAATTTAACCTACGTAATATTTTTTCACCACCAGACCACCCTTAAGGGAGCGATTTTGCTGGCTTACGGTTAAAACTAGTACATTCCAAAGATAAAATTTATGATATACCACAGTGCTTACCACACTAGTAATTATTCATCCCTCAATTACTCCATATGAAAAGTCAATAATTCTGTTATGTTAATATTTAAGGTGATAAAAAATATATTTTTACAATTTTACTGTACTCTTCTTGTAACTAAAAGTTTAAATTGCTTGCCAGGTTTTTACTGAACTACCCTCATAATTTTTGACCCTTAAGCCACAGTTAATGGAAAACATTCAAGCTAAATCGAGCTAAATGCGAAATCTTTTTGAAAATACAAAAGTGCTCGGCTAGATTTTTACTATATTTTTACCAGCCTAGTCATTGTTTTCCTAACGACTCTAACTAAAAACATTCTAAAATGTTACTCTGTGCTAACTAATATTTACTTTTTAAATGTTTAAATATTGAAAATATGAATGTACTTTATTACAAAATTTATAAATTTTGTAATAAAGTATACAAAAGTTTGTATACAAAAAAATATTAAAAATACCTTCTATAATTTTGTTTTGTCAGTTCAAGATTCAACCTAGCAGAATTATTGGCTTCTTATAGAGGGGTAAAAAATTGTGAAGGGAGCAAATGAATTGGAAAAGCTTTGTAGCATACAGTGATATTCAAAAATTACTTTTTTTTTTATTTTAACCTAAGCTACCACGGGTTAGCTAAGAACCGAAAAATTAGTAAAATTAGTAAAAGATTAGTAAATTAGTAATGTTTTTATTACAATTAGGTTAATAAACTTATGACATTACTATTTAAAATTTTAACGGAGTAGAATATATTATCTACTACTTATCATAATTATTTACCAATTTTTACAAAGAATAATCTACTATCTATGACATACGACAAATAGTTTGGAGAGTGTCCAACGTAATTCATAGTAAGTGTTACATACTATAATTTATTTTTTATGTTGGTCAACGTAAAATATCGTAAGTAATTTTTCTCAAAAACAAGATTGCAAATTTTCAAATATATTGGTTGTTCCCTCACTGAACAATCATTAATAAACAATAAGCGAACCTTTAAACATCTCTAGGTACTGTAAAGCTGACCGAATGCACTTACGATATTCTACGTAGGAGGTGTCGATATTTCAAATTAAATTGGCAATCCCATTAAAAATAGTAAATTATATTAGATGTCACAAAAGAAAATACAGAATTATACTACTTTGTATTGCTTTAATAATGCCTAATTTTTGAACATTCGAAAAGTATTTTTTTGTTGGTGCAAAAATTAAAAATTAGAAACAATGAGAATGTAGGGTAATACCTCAAAGATAATAATATGGTGTTGACATAAATTGGGTAGAATAACCCCAAAAGCGATAGATCTGGATACCATTAAGAGGAAAATCAAGATACAGAGTGAAGTGCGATGGGGTGTAAAAGATGTAGAAAAACATAAATAAAAATCATAGGATAGATAGGATAGTATGAATGGTTATAATACTTTAATTTATGTATGTTTTTTCTAATATTATAGATAATTCTGTTTTTAAACAAACTAATAAACTTTATTAAAACCCTGACCATTTACAAACATTTGAGGGTCGTCATCAAAATACAATTATTGTAAAACATTTAAATGTTTATGTAATTTATTTGAAAAATTGCGCATCATAGATAAAAATGAAATGAAATCTAAATTTATTCATAATTGCCGGACAATGTTATTACTCACCTGGGTAACCAGCCAGAGTTCCACCTACCAAACAAACGGACAAAACAAACACAAATTGCAACATCCTTCAAAGAGATGATCGTATTTCTTATTATACAAGTCTTATAACAAATCTTTTTTAAGATCGAGATAATCCGAAGTCCGCCGAACAACTTTTTGATTAAAAAATTTCAGTTTTTAATAATGTATTTATTAATTTAAGAAGGTACTTTACCGCTGTAAACAATGCAAAAAATTGCACAGATGAGATGCAGTGACGTTATCTTTCATGTCAAGTTCACCTACTCGTCACTAAGGTCATGTAGTACCGGATTATAACAATATAAATAAATACAAATTTAGCGCATGGTCAAATGAAAACCAATACATATACGAGTTTTAAACAGCAGAGGTGTACAGGGCCACATGTCGTTTTCATTAGATTTGGACGGACTGCAAACATTAATTAAAATATTATGTATTTAATTGTTTAATATGAAAATAAATTGCAACGAATTAAACAACCCAAGTCAGTTACTGTGATCATTATAATAAGTCATCATTATTCAGTCATCTCCTAGCATAGTATGACCGCCAATAGAATTTTAATAGTATTGTTTATACGTATACTAGCGGACCCGACAGACTTCGTTTTGTCAAATAGATTTGGAATGTGGCAGTTTATTTCTTACTTCTACTTTATTTTACTTCTAGTTTATTTCTACTTTTCTTCTTTGTCTTTACAGAAATTGCATTTCCTGCATTTCCCCAAGAGTTATGTATATAATTCTAAGACTAAACAAGAGATACAATCTGAAAATAACCCAGGTATACGCCCCCACTAGCGATTACGAAGATGAAATTGTTGAAGCCTTCTATGAGGAAATCGAAAGAGCAAAAAAGCAGGAACCGGCTCAGTACAATCTGATAATGGGAGATTTTAACAGAAAACTCGGAAGGAAAAAGGACAAACAAGAAGTGGCAATCAGAGATTTTGGAATCGGAGTAAGAAACAAAAGAGGCGAAATGCTTACCAACTTTCTACTGCAACACAAACTGTATGCAATGAACACGTTTTTTAAGAAGAAACAGAATAGAACATTGACGTATGCTAGTCCAGACGGGAGGACTAACAGCGAATATGATTAAATAATAACAGACAAAAAGCAAATTATTCAAGATCAAGCGACCACAGACTAGTAAGAGCTAGAGTAACGATAAACCTACAAAAAGAAAGAGAAAAATGATAAACAGTTGCAAACGCATAGTTTGGAATTCACCAAATCATCCCTAAGCATACATAAAAAATATAGCCGAAACTTTACAGAGTAATAATCCCAAACCTCTAAGTATCGACGATCACAATAAATTAATAACAGACTCGGTTAGAAACGCAAAACTCAAATTTTGCAAGAAAAATGGCACCAAAAGTGAAAAGATTAGCAAAGATACAAAAGCTCTCATGGAAATACGACGAAATGTAAGCCAGAACGAAAAAGGAAACAAAGAAAAATATAGAAAACTAAATAAAAGAATTTCAGCGGAAATTAGAAAAGATGTAAGAAGATATAATACTAATGTAATTACTCAAACAGTAGAACAGAACAAAGGTTTAAAGATAATGAAAAGAAAACTCACACAAAGTAAAAAAGAAATATACAAGCTGAGAGATAAAGACCGAAAGGCAACAACAGATAAACAAAACATTCTGAAAACAACAAGAGAGTTTTATAAAGATCTCTATACCAGCCAAAGACCACAATACAACTTCCTGACACGAGTAAAGACTCTCATAAATCAGGGATTTATGAGAGTCTTTATTAAAATACTTTTACCAATTACATTGTCAGAAGTAAGAGCAGCTTTAAAGGAAATGAAGAAACATCGATCGCCTGGTGATAATGGACTCGTTATTGAGGCAATAAAAGCAGGAGCAGAAATTCTATTAAAATCAGTAAACGAACTGTTTAATAAATGCTTACATGCGTGCGATTCCAAAACACCGGAACAATGCAGTGATAGTCTTGTTACACAAAAAAGGCGATATTACTAAATTAGAAAATTATAGACCCATCAGCCTCTTGACACATATGTACAAACTCTTTATGAAAATATTAACACAGAGACTACTAAACTTGATTTCTATCAGCCCAAAGAACAGGCAGGCTTCAAGGCAGGATATGGCACAAATGACCATTTGCATACCATAAAGATCTTAATATAAAAGTGCATGGAGTACAACATACCACTGGTTCTTGCATTTGTCGATTACGAGAACGTTTTTGATTCTGTAGAGTTTGAAACAGTACTGGAAGCCCTAAATCAAAGCCGAATAGATTACAGGTACACGACAATAATCAAAAACATCTACGAGAACGCTACATCAAGTAAACGACTACACGAAGACACAGAAAAATTCAGCTTAGGTCGAGGAGTTAGAGTTAGAGTTAAAATTTCACCAAAATTGTTCACAGCAGCTCTAGAGTCAATATTTAAGAATACTCAAAGGCAAGATATGGGCATCAATATAGATGGAGAAAGATTAAATCATCTGAGGTTTGCAGATGATGTTGTATTAAACGCAGAAAACTTACAGGACACAGTTTTTATATTACATTCTCTTAAAAGTCTGTCTGACAGAGCAGGATTAAAGATAAACTTTAAGAAAACTAAACTTATGACAAATCTCGTAATGAGTGGAAATATAACTATTGACAATAATACCATACAACAAACAGACACTTACAAATATCTGGGACACGAGATCGAAATAAGCAGAGACAATCAAAAACATGAAATACAAAGGCGAATAGGCTTGACATGGACAGCATTTGGCAAATTAAGCCATATTCTAAAAAGTTCAATTCCCATGTGTCTCAAACGAAAGGTTTATAACCAATGTGTTTTGCTTGTACAAATTTATGGAGCAGAGACTTTAACACTTACGCAAAAATCTGGGAATAAACTCAGAGTTACACAACAAGCCATAGAACGTGCAATGCTGAACGTGAGCCTTCGAGACCACATAAAAAACCAACAAATCAGGCAAAGATCAGGAGTTTAAGACGTCATCGAAAGAACCACGACGCTTAAGTGGAACCGGGCAGGGTATTTAGCCAGAACACAAGATGGACGGTGGATAAGACGTATTATGAAATGAAGGCACAGAAACTTGATTTTTAATGGGCTTTGTTTTGCCGATGAAGAGCTAAGTACTCTGCAACATGACACTATTAAAAGTACCTAAAGAATCGTTTATATTATCATTCAGTATAAGACTCTCCAAAGCCTTATCTATATAATTTTCAAAATGGATCCGCTTAGCCGAATGTATATTCCATTTGGACAAGAAGGGTAGTGGGCAAGGCTGACCTGAGAGATTCTCAATGGTAATAGGTGGATAGTCGCTACCATAAGTATACTCGAGAACAGTCCAAGAGAGACGCGGAGCAAGAACTGGATCACATAAGCTTAAATCTATCACGGAGGATTCTCCAGTGCAGATGTTAAATCTTGAAGGTGGCCCATCATTTAGAAAATTTAAATGAAGATCCTGCATTACCTTTTCTAAAAGTTTTCCTCTGTGATCATTACGCTTAGAGCCCCAAATAAAGTTATGACCGTTGAAATCACCTACGATGATTCGAGTAGAGGGTATCTGTTCGATAAGGCTGTTTAAATCTTCATATGTAGCTGAAGAACTAGATGGAAGGTAAATGTTACATATAAAAATTTGAAAGGGAGCGGTGATCTCTATAACTATAGCTTCAATGTTACTATTGACAGAAAAATCATTTGTAACCAAAGCTTTTTTGATAAGTGTCATAACACCACCTGATAAGAAATTATTGTCACGTATTTCTTTTCTAAAAATGTTAAATTATTTGGAATTATAGTTTTTTTAGGGGTTTAAATTTGTTTCTTGGAGACATTATATTTCGGTAGAGAATTTAGAAATAAGTTTTTGTAAGATTGGAAATCGATGGAAAAATCGATCTATATTACATTGCAGTAGTTTAGTGAATTATGTTATTATACGAAAAATATAAATTTACGGGCTAACCTGAGATGACTCGTCGTCGGATTCAGAGATGTCACCCAAGTGTCGGAAGATTTTTTTTTCTTATGAAGGTGCTACAATGTTTATTATAATTATTATTTTAATATTGTTTATTAATCATTGATTGTTAAATTGTCTTTTGTGTTTAAATTGTATAGTTAATGTATCAGATTATTAAGCAATTAGAAGAATATTTCCATTACGTAGATATTTGTTTATTAAATCATAAGGTATGCATTTCTATAGAAATTTATTGTCGAATTAAATAAAACAATACAATATTATAAATGCTTTTAAGAGTTGGAAAAACCTGCAAATTATATAAAAAATGGTGTATAATTATATTCTAAATGTAATAAATTTTTTATGAGAATGAATCAAGGAAGTATGAGATCATCTAATTTGGTATATATAAATAGTAATTATATTTAATATCTTCTTTTACTTACGGTGCCTATTCGTTCCGGATGTTGGCTATTAACAAGGCTCTTCTTATTTTGCTTGCAGCTATTGAAAGTTATCCAGTTGTAGACTAGTTAAACCATTTTCTCAGGTTCTAGAGCCAAGAAGTTCTTCTTGTTCCAGGTTATCAGTCAAGCTATACCTTTGCTCAATTCCACAGTCCTTCTCTATTCTAAGTATAACCTCAATATTAGTTACACGATTCAGGATGGCGGTGGCATACAGACACCATCCTAATATTTAACTAAATTAGGCTCAAGAGGGATACAGTGAAAGTACAAGTCGCCAAAGGCTGTCGGCACAGGAATTTTATCTCATCTCTTGTACAATCTGATCATGAATGGGCTGATAGCTAGACTCAGCAGTGGCTGGCATGATGTCCTGGGCTATGTAAATATCCTGATCATTTTAGCCCAGGGCAAATTTAGTGACTCAGAGATATAATGCAACAGTATTTCAATGTAGTTACAAAATGTACTTAAAAATTTGGGGCTTAATATAAGCTTATAAGTACAAAATCATAAAATTAACAAAATATGACGGATTATATATCTATTCTCAGTAGTTGAAGCTATT